TACTGTGAGCTATATATTAGTTGTGTGTACCTCCACCATGTAATGAACCAAGAAATTTGCCTCAAACGGAACAAAAAACTTGAATAGAATGTTACTATAAACTAATGATTTCTTGCGTGTTCCTACAACACATAATGAACTCGAAATCTGTGCTTCCAACTGAACAAAATACTTGAATACAATCTTCCTATGAGCTATCCATTAGTTGTGTATTCCTCCACGATGTAATGAACTCGAGATGTTTTGGTTCCATTTGGAGAAAATATAAGAATAGAATCGTACTATGAATTATTCATTTGTTGTTTGTCCTTCTAGCATTTAATGAGCTCAAAACCTGTGCTTCGTTCTGAAGAGAATATATGAATAAAATCTTACTATAAATGATTCATTTCTTGTGTGCTCCTCGACCATGCAGTGTACTAAAAATTTTTGCTTCAAAAGTAACAAAATGCGTGAATAGAATTGTACTTTGAATTTATCAATTATTGTATGTTTCTACATCAGGTAATGAAGTTGAAATCTTTACTTCGAACTGAAACGAATATTTCAACACAAGGTTCACTAAAATATTCACTTGTGTTGTGACTTTTATTAATTGCAGTTACTCCATATCTTTGCTTCGCCCTAAGCACAATCTTCGAATAGAATGTGCCTATAAACTATTCATTAGTCGTGAGTTGCTCAACCATGCGATGTCTTCGAAATCTTTCCTTCGAATTAAACAAATAACTTGAATAGAATTATGGTCCTGCTATGAATTACTCGCTAGTCGTGTGTTCTTCCACTATGTATTGAACTCAAAAACTTCACTTCGAACTGACCGAAATATAGCAAATGAAGCTTTGTTTCAGCTGCTCATTTGATATATACTCCTCAACCATGCAATGAAATCGAAATTTTGGCTTCGAACTGAACAAAATATTTGACTAGAATTTTGTTGGTGTTACGAAGTATTCTTGTCTCGTGTGTTCCTTCACCATATAATCAACTACAAATCTTCACTCCGAACTGAACGAAATATGGTAAATGAAGGTTTGTTTGAACTACTCATTTGATGTATACCGCTCCACTGTGCAATGAAATCGAAATTTTGGCTTCGAACACAACAAAATATTTGAAAACAATCCTGATTTTATGAATTATTCATTTTTTGTGTGTTCCTCCACCATCTCATGACATTGAAAGCTTTGCTTCGACTGGAATCAGATATGTGAACCGAATTTTGTTATGAATTATTCACTTGTTGTGCGTCCATTCACCATGTCATGGAATCGAAAGTTTTGCTTGGAACTGAGTAAAATATTCAAAATGTGTGTTTGTTTGAGCTGCTCATTTGATACATACTCCTCCACCTTGTAATCAATGCGAAATCTTTGCTTCGAACTGAAGAGAATATTTCAATAGAATCATCCTACTCTTGGTGATGTGAATTATTCACTGCTCGTGTGTTTCTCCACCATTTAATCAACTCGAGATGTTCACTTCGAACTCAACAAAATATAGTAAATGAAGGTTTGTTTGAACTGCTCATTTAATATATATTTCCCCGCCATGTAATGAAATGGAAATTTCTGCTTCGAACTTAAGAAAATATTTGAATAGAATCTTCCTATAGCTTATTCATTTTCCTTATCTTCGTTCCTATGTAATGAACGTGAAATCTTTGCTTCGAACTAAACAGAATATTTGAATGGAAGATTTATGGTATCAATCATTCATGTGTTGTGTGTTTCCCGACCATATAATGAACTCCAAATTTTTGCTTCGAACTGGCGAGACGATTTGAATAGGATCTTTCTATGGATTATTCATTTGCTTTATACTCTTCCGCTATGTAGTGAACTCCAGATCTTTGCTTCGAAGTGAAGAAAATATTTGAATGAAATATTTCTATGAATGATTGATTTTTCTTGCCTTCGTCCACCACGGAGAGAAATCGAAATTTTTGCTTCGAACGGAAGAAAATATTTGAATAGAATCTTCGTACAGATTATTCATTGGTTGTGGGTTTCCCTCATCATGTCATGCAATCGAAAGCTTTGCTTCGAAATGGAGAAAATATTTCAATATAATCTTCCTATAGATTATTCATTTTTCTTGTCTTCGTTCACCATGGAATGAAATCGAAATATTTGCTTGGAACTGAAAGATATATTTCAATAGAATCTTCCAGGTATGAATTATTCATTTGTTGTGGATTTCCCCAGCATGTAATGAACTCGAAATCTTTGCTTCAAGCTGAGCAAGATATCTGGAATGTATGTTTGTTTCAGTGGCTCATTTGTCGTTTGTTCTTTCACCATGTATTGAAGTCGAAATCTTTGCTTGAAACTGAGCAAAATATTTGAAATGCATGGTTGTTTGAGCGGTTCATTTGGCGTTTTTTCTTCCATCATATAATGGACGCGAAATATTTGCTTCGAACTGACCAAAATATTTAGATAGAATCTTAGTATGAATCATTCATTTGTTTTATGTTCTTCCGCCATGTAAACAACTGGAAATCTTTGCGTCGATCTGAGCAAAATATTTGGAATGTACGTTTGTTTGGGGTGCTCATTTGTCATTTGTTCTTACAGCTTGTAATGAAGACGAAATTTGTACTTGAAATCGAGCAGTATATTTGAGCTGAATCTTCCGAGTGTGGAGTATTCGTTTGTTTTATGTTCTTCCGCAATGTAATCAGCTAGAAATCTTTGCTTCGAGCTGAGAAAAATACTGGAAATGAGTTTTTGTGTGAGCTATTCATTTGTCATGAATTTATTCATTATAGTTGCATGTACGAAATCACTTCCTCTAGATGAGAAGAACTTTTAAACAGGCTCTTAATATGAGTCATTCATTTCTTGTGTGCTCTTCGATCATACAGTGTACTCGAAATCTTTGCTTCAAAGGTAATAAAATGTGTGAATAGAACTTTACTTTGAATTTATCAATTGTTGTATGTTCCTACACCAGATAATGTAGTCGAAATCTTTACTTCGAACTGAAATAAATATTTTACTATAAGGCTAATTAAGATATTCACTTGTGTTGTGACTTTTATCAATTGCAGTTACTCCACGTTTTCGCTTTGCCCTGAGCACAATCTTTGAATAGAATCTGCCTATAAATTATTCATTTGTTGTGTGTTCCTCGATTACGTAGAACTCGAAATCTTTCCTTCGCGCGAAACAAAATATTCGGAGAGAATATTGATAACAATTATTCATGTGTTATGGATTTGTTCTTTGTAGGTGCATGTCTCTATATCATGTCCTCGAGGTAAGAAGGATATTTGAATATAGTCTTCAAGATGATTAAATCAGGTATGTACTGTGTAAAGACTTTTACTGATATTCTATGTTATCAATCATACTTCATCTTTGAGATTATTATTTCTAATTATTTTTATACTGAATGAATTTACTATTTTTTCTTTGTAGGATGTATGATGGCACAATCAGCAATGTACATAAAAAGTCAAACATCGCCATCAATCATCATGAACGTAAAAAAACATTATAAATTAGCTAGCTTTTTTTTCTTATCTTCTTTTAATTTTTGCTTTCTCGTTATGGTTTCTCGCGCATTTTTTATTTTTATTTTTTCTAATTTTTTTCTAATTTGGTGTTTCAATAAAGATAAAATCAGAAAACATAGTCTTCTTTTCTTCTTGAAAACAAAAATAAATATTTAAAAAAAGTATGAGCAAGGTGTTATTATGTATCTAAGCTCAAAAACATATATTCAACTTATTATAAGTTTTGCTAAATGTTAGGGTGTAAGGTTTTACAAAACAACTGATAGACACTATCAAATAAAATCTTAATTTAAATTTATATTAAGCTTTCTATTTAAAAAAGCAACAGTTTTCATAAAATTGACTCATTCAAACTATTTTTTTATTAATTATCAAAAGTCAATATCTCTTTTTAAAAGTTTATCCTACAGTGTACAACTAAAAACATATTCTTTTTTTCATTTCACAAGACAAATTCTGAGGTTCCAATATTTTTCGTTGGCATTAGTAAAGCCTTCAGCTATATCTTTTGAATAAACAGTAAAAAAAGCAATCATTTTTTCTTTCACTCAATATACTAGATCATCATTCTGTTATAATCGCCTTCTATCACTTTCAATCGCACATGTTTTCATTTTCGAAGGATGTCCGCCATTGTGATATACTAATGAAAGCAACGAAGCATGGCTTAATGTATACATTTCTTACTCTAGGTGACACGTGTTCAAACGAAACAGAAGAAAGAAGGAAAGACAAAAAGACGCAAAAGCTATCGATATCAAATTTCTCGATCTGCTTCTAAAAGCTTTAAAATTATATTTGATTACTTTTTGATAACAATTTAATTAAAAAAGTTTATTTATGTAGTTGAAAAAAAGCTATTTGTATTTGTTGGCTGTCATTTTCTTTATTATATTGTTGAATAAATCTTGATGATAAATCATTATTTGAAATATTATTAACAAAAACTTTTATTATTGATAATTGCTTATTAATATTATATGAACAATTTAATCATATTCTACAAATATATCTATCATTACTAATAAATCAACAATTAAATTTAACATTTAAAATACGATTGCCTGATACAGATGAAGGTATATCAGAAGATCTATGTCGTATATTACATACATTTACAGTAGATTGTTTTTCATTAAAAATTATAGAACTTCATAAAAAGTACACAAGAATATCATGATTTGCTATTGATCAACTGAATATTAAAATTGATTCAACGATGAATGGAAAATAATTAAATTAATGAAAATGATTTTAAAAAAATATATAACAATAATAGAAAATTATAAAGCTCTTATTTTTTATGTAAATATATCAAAGATATAATAAAAATATTGGAAAATGTGAATAAAAGTTAAGAGAAGATGCATTCACATCCACACCCACCTTTATCGATATAATATAAATTTAAATAATTTTATTTAAGAAGATAAATACGTCACATTACAAACAAAGAGTTACATAATATTATTGATTCTCATTTTATATTATTTTGTTGACTCATGTAAAGCTAATTAAAAAGAATAATAAGTATTCATATTATTTATAAATTAGACTTACTCGATTGAGTGCATTTAATAATTGATCTATTTTATTAGGAAAATGCTCAATTGGATCAGAGTATTTTCCACGCAATTGTTCATAGCTTTGCTCAAATGATTCGACGTCATATAATTTTCTCCATCCTAAAAATATAACGAAACATTTCTATGACAAAAATGTACAATCTATCTTACCTATCCAACGTTGAAATTTATGAAGCATAAATTCGAAAATTGCCTGATCTTCATTATAATTAACTTTTGTATTCTTGCGAACGATACGAAAACTATCACTTACAATAGTAATAAACATAGTCATACAAATAAATACAACAAATACGAAGAATAAACTGAAGCAAATGGGTCCGAGAATTGGTGCAGCATTTGTTAATTCATATGCATCAAATTTCATTAACATCATTTCAAAAAGCATTTGTGCTGTATGTAATAATGTTGAACAACTCCAAATTTTATCCATAAATAATAGATAAAAAAGTGTTAGAAAAGCCATAAATATAAAGAAAAACATAATCATAAATGAAAATAAATCTTTTTTTGCATGCTGAAGTGTTTCAGTAAATAATGATAAACGTTTATGAAATCGACATAAACGAAGAAATTTTAAAGTACCAAAAAAACAACAAAACCCAAATAAACAAGTTAAAATATCATTGATATATGTTGCTACTTGTAAATTAATAAATGTATATCCATTTGTTTCTTTAAAACGATTACCAATATCAATTGATTTTTGATATCGCCATATATAAACTCCTAATATTCCCCATGAACAACCAATAATACCAACGTCAATATAAGACCAAAAGCGATAAAAATATGAAGATTTCATTTTAATTACAGTTTTTATTTCTAATACCATATAATAGATTATAAATAACATATACATAATTGAACAAACTAATTGAAATGTTGATGTAAAAACTAAAAGCAGAAGAAGAAGAAGATTAAATTTATGCATAAAAAGAAAATCTAACCTTGAAAAGTTAACGGTTCAAAACGATATTGTGGAATTAAACTACCTGTTGATAAAAATTCAACAAGAAAAGTAACTGAAGTAAATAATACAACATTCGGATTGTATAAAGTTAATTGAATAATTATTGCTCGTGTCTGACTATCAATCCAACTTAATCGATGAAGTTCAGATAAATTACTTTGAAGATCAAATAAACGACCTTGATATTCATAGATATAACCACCTGAACTGTATGTTTCAAGATCACCAACGTACATGTATTGATCAAGTTCATCTCCTGTTTGATATATGAAAGCTTGGTCAATCGAAGAATTAGAATATTGTGTTGTTTGATTTATCCATCCAGGTTTATAAGAATTTTTTTCTTCATTAAAAAAACTATAATCTTCGCTACATTTCAATACTATTTGTGTTTGACATAAACTTGATTGTATACGTAATTGTCTCATTATTGCTCTACCAATTAATCGATTTGATTTATCATTAATAAAACCACTTAAATTCTTAGGTGTATCACCATTATACCATTGTTGAGCACGAATATTTGAAATGAAACTATTTTCTAACCAATTCCAATATTGATCAATCGTAGAAATCTAATTATCGAATATCATATTATATGAAAATGAATACTAAATAACTCTTACTTTCGTATAATCATTATCAATTTGGTTTGTATTTAAAAAATAATTTCTTAAATGATTGACTTGAAAGAAAGCATTTGAATTCATATTTATATAAGTCATAAGATATATCAGTATTAGAAAATAGAAATAGAATACAATTTCTCGAATAATTGTCCACATACGTATTTCTTTTAAACGTTGATCACGAGCCCACGCTAATTCACCTTCATTTAAACGATCATTAGAAATTTGTGAACGATAAGTAAATGGAGATTCTCTTGAATGTATATATTCTTCATTATGATTTGAATCAAAATCATCATTATCCTCCAAATATTCAGCTGCTTCATTATCTTTGTCTGATTTTCGAATAAAGAAAGCAAAGAAAATTGCTAATGCAACAATCTATAAAACATATATATATATATATACATTTTATTATTAAAACAAAATAATTACTTACTTTTAATGGTTGAATTAAAAGTATTGATGAAAAGAAACCACTTATAAGTGATGTTAACCATTTTTGTGTTTTCAAATCACCAAATTGAATACCACGAACGATTATAAAAAATGATGATATCAGAACTAATATAAATGATAAACTATAAGCAAAAAATAAACACCACCAAGGAAACATCAATCGTGATCGTTTCTTTTTATTTGATTTTATTCTAAAGAAAATAAATAAATATGAAAAATAAAAAGATTTTACAACACTAACGATTGTCGAGGTAATATTCGTCGAAAGAATTGAACAAGTAATAAACTTGGAACAAATGAAAGAATTTCCACAATTATACCAATACTAATCTGTTGAGAACTGATATATAATGGGCCAAATGATAAACTTCCACTTGTCTGATTTGTTTTTGTTTCATTTGTTTGATCATAATAAAGAATATTTAAAAGCATTGCAGTAAAAAGTAATACAAAACAACAAGTACATCGTTGAACACGTGTAAATTTATTTGATGGTGGACGAGAAAATATTGAAAACCAAAGATGACCTTCTGTTATACTATGATATGCTTGTTTGGATAAAACATAGGAAAATTCATGTTTTTGTATTTCACCCGCTATTGGTAAAATTCGTTCAATCTAAATTTTTGTTTTTATAGAATAATTCTTTAATAAAATACGAAAAAAAATATTTACACGTCCATCATCTTTTTCCACAGCAAACCATTGTTGACATATAAAATAAGATTTTTGCATTGTCTGTAGATCACGAACAATAATATATTTAAGAAACCATGATGCTTTATCACGTTGACCGCTATTGTCATGCCAAATACGTATGTAATTCAATAATCCTAATGATCTAAATATATCATATCTTTTAAATAATCTTTTCAATAAATAAAATTCTTTACTTTGGAACAGCCATAATAAAAGCATCGATTCCACCGCGTTGCAAAATTTTTCGATGAGGATCAGAAAAAGTACGAACTGCTGTTTCATCTTCTTCACCTGCAAGAATAAATTGAACCTATCAAAGGATTTTTTCGAAATATTCTATTTCTTTTATTATACTTTTGAATTTGTTCCAGCATTTGCTCGATGACCAGTAAAAACAAGGATTTGATAAAAATATTGATCAGCAGAATAATTATCGGATAATGGTGTTACACCTAATTTTTCAAGATCTTTTTTATCTTTATAACGTGCATAGATAACTATTAATACATAAAGTATACAAATACAAATAATAGTTAAATAAATTGTTTTATTTTTCGAAAAATCAGCATTCTGAAAGACATAATTCCAATTAATAGGTGATGGTAAAACAAGAAATCCACCTGCAAATGTTGTTAAATGATTTGAAAAACATTGAGTTTGATAATGATTCGTTTCAGATCCAACCTTTTATAAAACATCAATAGTTTTCGTTTTCTAAGATGATCTGTAATACTTACCAATATTCCATCTGTTCTCCAAATAGAATTTTGATCTAAATAATAACAACATGCTGTATAAGTTCTTAATTCATAATTTGAAGTAAAATTAAATAGTTCATTTGATATTGGTAGATTATTATTATTTGATTGATTTATACAAAAATTTTCATATTCTATTAAATTTAATTCTCGTAAACCAAATATAATTGATTGATGACCAAATGTTTGTTCATTATTAAGAAAATATTTATAAAATGTATCATTTGTTAAATCTAAATCAAAAATAAAATATTTTATTTAGAAGCCAAATTCAACGAACTTGAAGGACAAAGAAGTGACCATCCATCAATTTGATTAATTGAACTATTTAATTGTGGTGAACTATCAAATCTATAGATTAATAAATAACTTTGATTGATATCTAAAGGTTTCATTTCAAAAATTAATGAAACACTTCGATTACTATCCGATTGTAATTGTTGAAGATTAATAAAATGAAGATTAAATGTTAGATAATGAGAATTCGTTTGAATTGAAGTTACATTTTGTAAAGTCATCGATGGAATAATTATATTTGGATCACGAGGTATTATTAATTCAATTTTTTCATTAAGATTTGTTCGAAGAGGTATTTCATTTCCATAACGATCTAATATTGTTAATGACACTGATCTTGATAGATTTGTATTTGATTGACTATTATCAGCTAATGCAAGTGGTTGAGTCATTGACTAAAAAGAACAATTGGAAGAGAATGATTAAAATGATAAAAAGAAAACAACAAACTCGAAGTGAAATTGATGAATTATCATTTGTAGTTAAATAAAAAGTGAATGGAATACGAATATGAGTATTACCACTTTGTTGAATAAATTTATTTGATAAAGATAAAATTGATATTGTTTCAATTGAAAAAAATACATCCGAAGAATTTATTGTAAAATTTTGACCAATATTTAAATGAGTATTAAGAGTATTTGTTATTAATGAAATTGTCTCTGTCATTTGATTATTTATCTTATCAGCTGTTTGTTTTTGATAATAATTATTTCGATTTTTTTCAATTGTTTTCCATGAAAAATCATTTCCATCAGCAAATAAATCTATTTAAATAAAATATCACATAGATAAACATTAGGGAGAAAATATAATTCTACTTAGATTAGACCATTCATAATCTAAATCAGTATCATAATCAGCAGGAAAATTATTAGCACGAGACCAGTCTAAATCAAGAATAGTTGTTCGTTGTTGTAATGGACCATTAACAGCCTAAACAAAAATCAATTCTTTTCAAAATAAACAAAAAAGAAATAAATTTTTACGCTCAAAATATTGTTAGCACATTGAGTTATATATGTCACTCCTGTTTGAACATCATCATAAGAAATTGTTGTTGTCTTTGATTGTAGAGCTAAAGCCAATTGATAACATTTATCCGATACAAGCATCTATTTTACAAGAATTAAAGAAAGAAAGAAAACAAAATATTCGAATATATTACTAAAGAATTTCGTGTTAATTGATTTGTTGCTTGTGTAAATTGAGCTAAAGTAGATGCTTGTAATTTAATACTATCTACAGTTGTTATAGGTAAATTTGTAATATATGTTACAACAGAATCTCGAATATTAGCATAAATATTTAATTGTTTATTATATTCAGCAAGAGCAGAAGCATTTGATGAGACAGATGACTACATATGTATAAATATATATGTATTAAGAAGAAAAAACAAACAAACTTACTATTGTTTGTTCAGTTATACTATTCAATGATGATATTGAAATTGTTGTAATAGAAACACCATCTAAAGTGATAAATTATAGATACAATAATGTTTGATATACTTTACTTGTAAGAGCAGTTTCAATAGCAAGATCATTTATTTGATTGAGTTGTTGTGAAAGTGATGTAATTATTTGATTAATTCTATTTTGATTTCCATTCATAAGCATTGGAAGAAAAGAATTATTTATTACATTGATATCTGATTGAACAAAAATTGATGGTATATTGAATTCTGTAACACAATCAAATGTATCACGAATATAAACAACAATATTTAATAATGAATTATTATCAGTTGTTCCAGGTAAGAACATTTCAATGCTTGATACAAATGAAAAGCCAAGCATTATTTGATCTGATGGGTCTACTGTCCATCCTATTCATAAAACCATTGCTATATATTTGTGATTTTAAAAGTGAAACAAAGCTTACCATAAAATAAATAATCTTTAATATTATCTTTATCATACCAATTAAGACAAGAAATAGTAAATAATGTACTAGTTGTACCATTCATTGGATCAATTGAACATGAACCATTTCCAGGCGGTTGATTAATGATAAAATTTATTGCACTTGAACTTGATTGTAATCCAAAGAAATAAACAACTTCAAAACGCCAATAAATTATTGAAGGATTATTAATAAATAATTGATTTGTTGCTGTAAAATTACTTGTATTCATACCAAAAAACCATAGATTTTGATAGGAGTTCGTTTGATTAAATAAAATCCATTCAGTCATATTTGTTGATGAATTTATTGATCCTTGATAAATATTCCATGTTATATTTTCAATTGTTTCACAATTATCAGCACAAGCTGAAAATAATGCTACTTGTGTTGTTGGATTAATATATTGATATTCCATATCTGGAATACACATTGTAGAAATCACACAACTAAATTATAAGTTTCTTTTTATGAATATTAACAAGAGAAAAATCTTACGCAAGAAGAATCATTTCAACATTAGTATCTTCAACATGTACAATAAGATAACCAACAGCTTGAATAGAAGAACTCTGACGATTTGTCATTATAACCATAATTTGATATGTTCTATTCGAAGAGAATGAACCAGAAAGCATTGTCAATGAAGAGTTACGTGATGCAATTGGTCCGTCATATTGTAATGCAGATCCATTTCCTTTATAAAAAATAAATCATCAAGATAGAATGAAAATTCTTTATGAAACTGATACTTGAATGATTTGATAAACATGATGGATTGAATGGATCAGTTCTAGAATCATTGATTGTTAATAATAATCCATTGATACTTGGAAAGTCATAGAGACCATAGATTCGACAATAATATTCATAATTCCAATTCTAAGAGAAAAAACAAATGAAAAAATTTTATTTGTCAGATAGATATTAACATACACTTGTATTAAATATAATTGTATCAGGATCAACAGAATATTCTCCAGGATTTAATGTAAGATTTTGTTGATATCCACGTACAATCATTGAAGTTCCATGTTGAACTAAATTTGCTGTAATACTTGATGGAATAATTTTGATATAAGTAAAAGCAGTAGAATTGATACTGGGATAAACTTTCATTGTAATAGTTAGTTTCAATTCATAAGTACCATACAGTAAGATATTTGCTGGAATAAAAAGATCATTATATGTTGTAATTATTGATTGATCAAGTTGAATTTCTGTTGAACAAATCGATGAACATTGTTTAATTGTCCATTTAATGATTGTAGAAAGTGATGCACTACAATTCAATTGAAGATATGGAATAATATAAACATTTTCACTTCGTCGATATTGCAATGGTGATGCGAAAGTCGATAGATTTCCAAAGAATGTAATATTAGGAGGCAGACAATCTAGAGTACAGTATACAACTAGAAAAACTATTTTTAAGCTTCTTAAAAATTATTACTATTAGCATTAGTGACTGTTGTTGATGTTGATGTCAAAGTGGTAGTACTTGTAGTTGTTGTACTTGACGATGTAGTGCTACCTACAGTTGTTGTTGTCGTTTCAGTTGACGATGTAGTGGTGCTTGTAGTTGTTGTTGTTGTTGTTGGTGATGACGAACTAGTAGTGTCTGTGATTCTTGTGATTATGCTTGATGATGAAGTGTCAGTTGTCATCTCCATGGTACTTGTTGTTTCTAAAGATAAATCAGTAAAACATGCGTTTGTTGTAGTTATTTCTTATTATTTATTTCATTGAATTTTTTCCCTTTTTATGTATTACGTACAGAGTTACGTCTTTTGTCATAAATAGAAAGAGCTTTCGATTGAGGATATGATCTTTTGCACCAGAATCAAATTTTAGTGTAATTTAAGCGCATGATTATACTATAAACTACTTAGTTAAACTTTCCTTTTTAGTTCAAAAATCAGTTAAGAACATATTTAGTCAAAGAAGAAGATACTTTTTAGTTAAATTGATATCTACCTTAGATAATTTCTTTTATAAAAAAAATAAAGTATTTACCGGAATTATTAGATACCAAAATGAATTTTTGAATTCGCCTGTTTCCTTTGTCAGCTACGTAGATATTGCCATAGGTATCGAAAGCCATAGTCGATGGTCCAGATAATGTTGCTGATGGACCAGTTGCACTTGGACATCCAACTATGCATCGATAACCATTAGGTCCTTGTCCAACAATACGATTTTGACCAGAATCTACAATGAATAAGTAATTATTACCATCAAGTACAATATCCGTTGGATTTATGAGTTGTATGCCGACGGGGTGTGATGAAGAACCTCCTACTATTGTTGTTCCATTCAAACTGCCTGGTGTAAGATATTGAATTCGATTGTTACTAGTATCTGCTACATACAAATTGCGATTAATATCAACAAAAATTCCATATGGTGAATTAAGCTGATTTGATGCTGATCCACTGCAACCTGAACCAGCAACAATTCTTACTTCATGTACTGGATCATTCAGTGATTTTGTAATCACTTGACTAAGACTGGCAATGGAACAGTAAATATTATCATAAATATCAATAAAAAGGCCAGTACATTGTTCGCTAGCGAACATAATAGGAATACCGTTTCCTGCGTTTAATACCCACTTATCTACTTCACCATATTGTTGATCATTATTAACATAAATATCTCCATTGTTAGTAACGAAAATACTGACTGGAGATGATATACCTGTAGATATGTTTTTTGTTGATTGATTGCTTCCTTCACGCCATATTTGAATTTGATTTAAACCTGAGCAGGCAATATAAAGAGTGTTGTTAGAATCAATAAAAATGGCAGATGCATTTGAACCAATCTTGTTAACATTTGCAAAAGTTAAAGCTGTTGAATTCCACGAAGCAAGTGCTCCATATACCGGTTGATTGTAAGAAATAACTAAAATAAATAATGATAATATTTATAGTTTATAGTGTATATAATGCTGAGTAAATGAAAGAGAAGTAATCAGCATGTTATACCAGAGCAGATTCTTTATCAAGCATACTACATTTATACTGATATACGTACGAACAAACCACAAAAAGCAATTAAACTCTTTCTACATATTGATTAACTGAATACAAATCATATAATATTCCATACCTCTACGATAAGATGAACTTGAACTTGATGTCGATGCCATTATTGATTGTATAGTGTATGATGATCTTTCTATAAAAAAAAACAAATTAGTTTACTACTGTTATGAAATTTAAGTTACTAGTATTACCATATGGTGTTGATGATAATGTTGTAGCCGCACTTACATCTATAAACAAAAAACAATTAGAGAATAAGCATTATACTTCTTGATTTCTCTATTATCTAAATTGTTGAAGCATTCATTAGATCATAATATAGATAGCTTAGATTATTCACAAAGAAATGATGCGTTCTCTTATATTTTGTCTTCTATTTTCTACAGTATTGAAGATTTTGATGTCTTTTTAAAAAGTATTACTTTGAACATATCCTATTAATACAGAAAAACTTACCACAAGCGTTAGTTGCTATATTGAACTTCTGAATTCTGTTGTTTCCCCAATCCGCAACGAACATGTTTCCATAGCTATCAAAACTAAGCAGTCCAGGACCATTTAGTTGACTCGATGTTGAACCAAGACCATTGCATGCAACTAAACATCGAAAACCGTTGGAATCTGATCCAATAATTCTATTATTACCACCATCGACAATAAATAAGTAACCATCGGCATCTAGTACAACACTACTGGGACAATTTAAGCTAATATCTTGTGTTGCACCATTTCCTACAATAGTTTTTCCATTTAATTCATTTAATTTAAATTGTTGAATTCTATTATTGCTACTATCTGCCACAAGCAAATTAAAGTTATTGTCAACAAATATTCCTTGAGGGTAATAAAGCATATTAGACGCTGGACCTGCACATTTTGTGCCAGCAGCAACAATGGGTGTACTTGCGTTATTATTAAGTGGCTTTTTAACGACTTGGTGAGAATCTTGTATGGAACAGTATAGAGTATTGTTAATATCTATAAAGATGCCTAAACATGATGCACTGACAGGCATAACAGGCACACTGTTTGTTGCATTCGACATCCATTTGTCTACTCGACCATTAACACCGTTATCGACATAAATATCACCATTACTAGTAACAAATACACTAAATGGTGATGATAAACCACCAGAAATGGTTTTGTTTGGTGTGTTAGATCCTTCAAACCACATAAATATTTTATCATAATCAAGAGATGCAGCGTAGACAGTATTGTTTGAATTGACAAAAACACCAAATGGTGTTCTGCCGATTGTACTGCTAGCTATAAACGTAATAGCAGACGAATTCCATGTTGCAGATGAACAAAACTTCGGCTGATTAAATGGTATGGCTATGAAGAATAATAATCAAATCATTGATTTTAACAATGTATATGAGAGTATTTTAGATTATTCTCAGAAAAAGATCAGTCTATGTTTTTCTCTATACTCTTTTTTATGTACGATGTTATTAAAACATCATGCAATATTCAGTGTACAACTATTGTTTATTCATCATCGTTATCGTAACAGATTCAATATTATCTTATCAACAATAAAGTTGATACAATCAAATGTCATTTAAAAAGAATATTAAATAGATACCTGTTATTTGGCCAATAATCAGAAGAAAGAATGGCCAAAACTTCAGATTACAATCCATCGATAGTATTCCTTTGTTTTGACTACTTCAAAACTGATGTGAAATATGAACACGTAAAAATCTTTATATATTATTTGTTACCGACATTGATTAAATAAATAGTAATAATATTGCAGCCGACAGTATTATTGTTTCTAATATAATTTATTCCGATATAAAATAAACAATTTGGTGAGTAGATAAATATTGAATTTCTCAAAAAACAGATCTCGGAAAAGTTTGTTTTTCAATAAATATTAAAACTGAAATGTACTTTTAAATTAAGAAGACGTAGGACTCAACTACTCTTCATAAAAATTCAAAATTTTTTAATTCTTTCTACTAAATCTCTTAGAAAGTATCTGTTTTTAAATGGCTACTGTTGAATATAAACGTCAGAAGATCATATTACGATACTTTGTAAAAAAATCTCTGATATATTTCTGATTACAACTGAATTTCGATAATAACGGTTTCTAGTTCTAAAACGAAGAAAAACATCATATCTGTTAAATATAAGTACAGTTATTTATCTTAATAAATAAATCTGTTTGATTATATTTAAAATTTCATTTGTAACTAAGATATAGTTATCTATGAAACTGAAAATTTATCATTGATATGTCTAATTCAATTTGAAGGAAACGTTGACGCAAAGAACTTTATTTTTTGAACAATGTAATGTAAATATTTAAAATCATCTCGTGAGCGATATTACATAGTCTGGAACATCCAAACAAGATTGAATGTTTATTTTTTTTTTGAAAACTATGACGTCAATGAAATTTTCTTATTCATGAATAAAAAAATCCAATTTCAATTTCTCTTTACCTTCGTCTTCATTCGACTGTTTACATCATAAAATATTCCATTTACTCCTGTTGATTCTTTCGATACGTCCCCGTTATTCATTCTTATTGCGTCGATTTTATATGTTCCCAAAAACACCACTAACCTTTTCTTTTTTAGTACCATGAAGTAATCTGTAACATATATAGTATGAATGACTGCTTTTGTAAGTGTATCCATATCTAGGGAAATACTCATCATTTTTGATCAATAAGTGCAAAACATAGTAACAAGTATTCATACAGTAAACTATTAATCTAGCTATGCACAACTGTCGGTATAGTATAAAAAAATCTTTTTTTTATATATTTTTGTCTGTCAAACACAACTTGTACAATTTGAGAACATACGTTTCTCTTTGATAATTACACAATTTTGCAGTAAACTCTGTGGATGAAGAATATTTAGATCTAGCCCGGCAGAAACCGGCGACCTTACAAAATGTTTATCGATCATAAATTAAGAGTGCAAACAAATTTTGCTTCAAGTACACATGCGTTTCTATGCTATCAACCCAGACTAGTGTTATACGATCTGCAATATTAAAAAGACTCTTTGTTTTCAATATCAGATCTATGTTCGCCATACAATAGATACAGTTTGTTTCTAGAAAGGTCGACTTTTGATTTTTCCTTTCATTTATTTTCAGAAGTAACGAAATAAGCTAAATACAACAAAACAAAACTATTTAACGCTTAATAAAGTCTCACAATACATAAAATATAAATGTACAATTAGTCTAATGTTTTATCTTTTATCGTTAATTAAAAAGTTGCCAGTATATTGAAAACAAACAATCAGATTAATACCAAAGAGAAACGAGAAAAGCAAATGAATGCCTAATATATATAATGACATTTTACTCATGAAGGCATTTTTCACTATAAATAATAAAAACTATTAGAAAATATATTTACTACTAATTAAAAATATTGAATTATCATTTTGATATAAGATGATTACACATTATTTAGTGTAAAAAACACATTATTCAGGTAAAAATAATATCATGCTGATTAGAAATCTATATATCTGCAATTTTTTTCAAACCGGCAAAGATCGGTCGGTCTGAGTGATTCCACCGGTCCAGACCGGTTTCAGCTTTGATGGATGTGAATATGGGTGAGTGTATGTGAGAGTGTTAATATAAGTGTGGGTGTTATATTCATGCCATACCTATACAAAAAGACATTAAAACCTTCCTTTTATGTAAACTTTAGTACCACATCATCATACCAACATTTTTCTAAACAAAGTTTCTCTATCAACATTTTACATATCAGCTTTTTATAAACATCAACAAAAGTCGCCATCATATAACTTAACATGCTTTTTCGAATCATACTATTTTATAGTTATAATATAATAGCTCGATGACCTTAAAATATACATCTTTATCATATTTCATTTTTTCCAACAATACACACTCATTTCACCTCAAACTTTTATGTTATTTATATTTTCTCTATCTAATACAATAAAAATATCATTCAAACAAATCATATATTAATTCAAAAATTCACGTCAGCATTCTTTTTTTTTCAAGATCTTCAAAAATAAAACACTTCATTATATGACTATTCATTCATATACTATTGACATACATTTATTTTCAAAATAAGGAGAAGAAGAATAAGAAGAAGACAATAACAAATAATACATTCTAATATTCTTTTCTTATA